TACTGATGTTGTGGCTCCACCCCATAACAAAGAAACAATTTCCGGAGGATGAGGCCCAGAAATCGGGATTTAAAAAAGATTCCCAGGTGATTCTAATGTGCAGCCAAGGTTGAGAACCACTGCTTTAGGGAGTAGTGGCCACTTCCCCATGCAGAAATCCACGTCAAAGCCCCTTTTCTGTCCCCATTTCCTGGACTGACACAGATTTAATAACTGCTCATTGTGCCAGGACACCGAGGTCTAAATGGAGTAGGCATTGTGAAGCAGGGGGGCACAGGATGGAGTCACTCACAGGGGTGCTCCTGCTACAACCCCATCGCTCTCTCCTTGCAACTAGCCTATAAGCACGTCAAAAAGATGCTCAAATCCGTAGTCATTGGGAAATCAAAATCCCGGGGCTGCTAACATTAAAAAATGCAAAATAACAAGTGTGATAAGGATGTGGAGAAATTGGAACCCTCCTACACTGCTGGCGAGGATATTTTATGGTGTGTGGACAATGTGAAAAACAGTTTGGCATTTTCACAAAAAGTTAAGCATGAAGTGACCACATAATCAGCAATTCCACCCCTAGGCATGTAGCACAGAGAACTGAAAACATTCAAACAAAAACTTGTACATGAATGTTTATGGCAACATTATTCAAAAGCCAAAAGGGAAAACAACCCAAATGCCCATCAACTGATGAATGTGTAAGCAAAATGTGCTATATCCATACCATGGACTTTTATTTAGGTAAAATATGGAATAAAGTACTGACACATACTTAAACATGGATGAACCTTGAAAACATGATGATACATGTGATAAGCCAGACACCAAAGAACACTGTGAGATTTCATTGATATGAAATGTCTGGAGCAGTGAAATCTACAGAGAGAGAAAGTCAATTAGTGTTTGCCAGGGGCGAGTGAGAGGGGAATGCTGGGAGGAAAATGTTACCTCTTTCTCAGGTTCAAGGGGCTAGGGTCCTGCAAATTAATTAAAGTGAATTAGGAGGAGAAAAGTTTATTTATTATATGGGAGCTTTCAGATAGAGAGGCTCCCTAAACAGCTAGATATAGTGGTTCATATCCCAGCTTCACAAGGGAGTTGATGGATTAGGACTTCAAAGGATGGAAGGATCCAATGAGCCTGTTTACACATTCTTTTGGAATATTGTAATGTCCGAGCTCAAGCCCTCCTAATCATGCCTTCCAAATTTGGGGGGTGGGTTGGCAGCTGCCTCTTATATAGCTCTGCTTTAGTCAGATAAGGGGAGCT